GTGAAATATTTCATCTTGATGACAGGAAACTAAAGGTCAAGTTTGAATTAAAGTAACAGGCTAAAATACCGAAGCTGGTTTTTAAAATCTGTTTGAAGTTAGACTTTAAAATTGCTTTTATCAGAAATTTCTGAATGGATTTCAGCTATCTAACAAAAGCAAACAACTGAAATTGAGGGTTAAAAGGGCCAAAAGTTAAATTAACTTATACAATTAAATATCTCATATATAGTTCCTAGTCTATAAAAAAAAACTATGATGGGCAGGGACTAGTCTAAAAATTTCTAAATTTAATTCAATTGTAATCAGAAAAGCAAAAGCTGGATTCAATGACTTCTACGTTATTTGCAGTTCTTTCCTGTCGCTGGCAGGAATTCAACTCAAGAATCTTTATTTACTAGCTTAATGCCTTTTATTTTCAATTAAGGCCCCTTTAAAGCAAAGCCACAAACAAGGGTATTGCAGCGGGATACTGGCGACATTGGTAGTCATCATCAAGGGTCATATTTGGTTAACCAACGGACCTTTTTTGAGTCAGTGTTATGGGTAATTCTCATTATAGCCCGGCCCCAAGCAAATAATATAACCCTCGAAATACAACTTTGGCTCTTTTTCCTTTCCCCCACCTCACATAAGCATCAGTTTTATGGCGCAATGAGGGGTTTTTTTACAAGGTTAATTATAAAAACCAAACATGTTTGCCGATTTTTGATGCAATCAATCAATGCAAAAAAGGAACAAGAGCCACAAAATTCACAATAGGAAAAGGAAAGAGCTACAAAAAATCACAAAAATTTACAGCTGTCTATTTGAAAAGTATTTTTTTTTACAATGGTTGCAAACGCTTTGGCTTCTTTTTATGTCGACTAGGTGGCAACTTGTTGCGTCATTGATAAAAAATGAAAATTCCTCAATCTGTGTGCTTTAGTTGGCTTGGAATACCGTTTTTTTTTGTGATCAACTTGTGTCTGCTCAAACATGTAGCGCTTTTTTTTACCTCTTGGTAAGATTTCGTTTGAAGATCACTTCGAGTGATTTGACGAATCTGTTTTTCTTTTTCAAATTGAGCTAGGAAAAAAATCTATTGTAGTATCTCATCTTCATTGATGCATATATCGTTACAATGAAGAGAACAGAGCGTTTCTCAGTAGACAAGACAAGCATAACATGGAAAGATAGTAGACAGAAAATAAGACTATTTGCAAGAAAAAATATACAAAAAACACTCGGTAAAAAAACAGATCTCGAAAAAAGGGATCTCAAATTTTTCATCTGCATTGATTGGGTAATTGAATTTTTAGGATGAAAATTTTGAAAAATCCGTATTGTTTTTAAACCGCAGTTAGCTATTTTACCATGTTAAGATTGTGTTGTCTCACAAACAAAGCTAAGTGCTGCTTTGCCTCTATGTAAAAAATTCTGCAGTCTTGAAAATGAGATACTAGCTAAGCATTTTATCCAATTATTGAATAAGGAAAAGCTTTGTATTCAGGTGTGTTTTAGCTTTTTGTTGCATTTTCAACGCAATATTCAGTTCCAAAAAATCATCGGATTGAGTTGATTTATGTATCACATTGAAACTTTTTCAGTCGTGATTCGAACAGAAGAAAAAAGTTTTCAGAAAAAAGTCGCAGTGTTGAGAAAAACCAATTTGAATGTTTGCATTTTGATGAGTACTGCTCATTAAATGAAAATAAGGATGAAAGTCTAGATTTTACTGAAAAGACGACTGGTTTTGAATGGTTTATTTGGCGTTCCATGGCAAGGAAAGTTTTCTTGAAAAAACTTAAAAATTTTTGTGCTAAATTTAGAAAAAACTGAAAAAAACTTTGAAATTTTTTTTAAATTCATTTTTGAAAACCAATATCGATTAAAACTGATTTATTATTTTCTATCTGTACCAATATGTCTGCCGATAATATTCACGATTATTTTGTGTTTTTTTGGGTTTTCCTGATGTGTTCATTTAAGGTAAAAACTCTTTTATACCAAATTGTTCTGTTGATATCTGTGGCTGTAGTCTTCTATCTTTTTCCCTTGTGAGAACATGTGACTTTTAATCGGGAACTGTTTTCAACATAATTTTTTTTTCACAAGCGTCAAGTCTCGGGTTCGATTCCTGTTCAAGCTTTGTTTTCAATTTCACTATGTACGTTTGTTCATCTTGCTTTATTATTGAGCCGTGTTTATTTGGAAGGCCTTTGCTACTTGAGGTAAAAAACCCAACTTCAGAGCATGCAGTCTGCGTTTCGTTCCCCAGCGGGACAGTTTTTTTGAGATGTGTAAAAATTGATCTTGCGTTTTTATGGATCCTCAAACCGTTCAAGCCATCTCACTTGATCCAGAAGTACGGACTAGTTCAACGGAATGTATATATTCCAAGGGGGTGGGGGTGGGGGTTGCACAATAAATCCCAAAAGAGAGCTTACTTTCTTATCTGCTCAATGGCTACTCTAAAAGAATGAGACTTCGTTGGTCACATTGAGCGCAGCAGTCAACCCCTCCACAAGTGGTATTTTCAAGGCTCATCGCCACAACTGCGATTAAATCAGACGCTTCATTATCGATGAAAAGATGCAATTAAGTGGCTGATTTGCCACCCACTGTAAAATGAAGAACGGAGCATAATGACTGATCATAGAAATAATGAAAATAAAAAGTATGTTCCACAAATAGTGTTTTCAATATATCTACAAAAATTATGCTTCACTTATTTTTCAAAAACTCTCCCCACCACCTAATTCTAAACAATGAGTGAAGACTTTGGATCTGTAAGCATATAATAACAATTTAATAATTTAATAAAATTAACGAATTGTTGCTCCGATTCGGGTATGGCATCTTTCTTAAACCAAATTCGGCGATGCCCACAACAGATTTACAGACAAAAGTTTTTATCGCATGAGATTGCAAAAGATTGGGGATAACCTGGACGTATTATAGACTGAACGAAAGAGTATTGAGCATACCGATGCATTAAAAATAGATTGAAAATGATTTAATTGGAGGTGAAATGCAGAAGAAACATGTGTTATGATTACATATATATGACGAGATTATGTATGAAGCAATGTACTCTATTAAGAATTTGGTAAACTTAACGCTCTGCTGCTCCGATTCGGGTATGCCCTTTTTTTGTTTCGCTAATTTCGGCTGTACAAACAACAGATTTTTAGACAAATGTTTTTGTTGCATGAAAATTTTCGAAGAAACGATCTGATAGTAATTTTTAACACGGGATATATTTCGCGCTATTAACGCGCAAGCGAGATTTAACCCGTCTTAGAAATCGTTCTAAATTGGTTCAAGGAAGCGTATATGACATAATTGATTTGTTGATAGGAGCAAAGTATTACTGCTCCATAGACCTTAGAAGGCAATCGTAACATTCAGGGCTTCGCCCTGATACTAGCAGTCTTGTTGTTTGAACTTTTTTCTTTTATCTGCAAATAACTTTGAGGAAAGAAAAGCCTCTGAGTTTGGCCAGGCTTGCCGATTTGAGTAAATTTACCTTTTCTGAATCTACATGACGTTTTTTAATAAAAACTATTTGAGATGTGCCTTGATACGACCAGACTTGTAAGGTTTCAAATGCCCATGCATGTAAACTAGCGGATTTAGGTAGATCGACGGACCATTCCTTCAGAGATTCGACTCGCTGATTACCCAAAGGGTACCTTTTGGTACTTTTTAAGCGATCAATTTTTGAATGGCTGCCCATAAAGATTTTCTAAAGAAAGCACAAAAACGCTTTCTGTGGCTTGTTTTTTTTTCAAAAATTCGCCTGCGGCAGAAAAAAGTTGTCTAACTTAGGGTCTTTTTAGTGATTTGGGAGAGCTCAAGAAAATCAATTTGATAGTCTTAAAAAAGACAACATTTTCAATTTTTTTGCAGCTATCTATCTAGATTGTTCCGTTTTTGATTTTGGACTTTTTTCAAAAGCAACGTTGATAAAATACCAAACATTGTTTATTTCTACCGGGAACAGTTTGAAGAAATCGCGCGCCATAGCTTGTTCTCCTTATACTGGATCAAAACCATTCCTGGGATCTAAAGTTTCTTTTTCTGGAATACAGAGGTCTTCATGATTCTCTTCGGGACCTGAAGAACAGCTTGAATTCACGAATAGTTCTGTTGCTGATTTTAGGGGGCGCTTCTCAGCTTTTTTAAAATTATGCGATGGGCGGTTATTTTGTTGGGTTGGCCGTTAGCTTGAGCGCATTCAAGAGAACCACTTTAGACTGGTTTTCTTGAAAAAAAAGTGGTTGTCTTGTTAATTTTCAACTTGAGCAATCTGATTGTCATACGAAATCACGGCTCAATTTTTATAAATTCCGAGTTGATATTGGCTATTCGAAAAACATTTGTTTTTTTCAAGTTTCATTCCAAAAGCAAAGGCTGTCTGAACAATCAGGGCTTTACTGAGCAAGTTTCTTTCGCCCGGCTGAGCACAATAAATGTTTTAGAAGCATACAAGAGTGCCAACAGTGGAAAAATTGTTCAAGCATCAAATCTGATCATTGACAGCTTATAGGAATATATAAACTGTTAGAAAAAATTGGAGTTCAGCTTGGAAAAATCACTCAAAATCTTCAAAACAAAACTAATAGATTTAAATTGGTTCTATACACAAAATTGGCAAATTGATTCAAAATCGGCATTTCAGACCCTTAACATTCATTAACTCTCACTCCGTTCAGACCCTTATTTATCGTGAGTATCTAAGTCCGTGTGTGTTTCCAAGACGGCACAAAACAATTTCCAATTCATTAATTTTGTTTAAATGGATACCATTCAAAATTTTATCACTCTACAAGGTTGTTAATATCTGTTGCAATATTAGGCGTCCAGATTGTCAATGTAGTTTCAGTGCTGGTTCAAGGCTTTATGCTGCGATAGCATGACATAATTAAATGATATTTAACTTGGTAGATTAACACTTAACGAATGCTCGTCGATCTAAAAAAAATCCATCCTCTATGATTATTTCAAAAAAAAAATTGCAGAGCAAATTAATTTCGGGTAAATACTACATAGTTCAAATTGAGACTCTTTACAATGTATATATATGATCAGATCAAATTTATTTCCGGGATCAATTTTATTACAATTAACATCAGAATACGAACCAATAACCATTTAACTTTACATTGACTACCAGTCACCACTGGCCAACAATAGGTGAAATAACAACTTGAACGAAGACTAGAGATTATCTTTCATGATCTGAAATTAAAGTTTCTTTTACAACCTCACACGTAGATTCAATTCCCCTTTAGAGCTCTTTTTACCCAAGTAAGCTCTCCTATTTCTCAAATGAAACTCATCAGAAGTCAAGGGCATTTCAAGAACTGTGTTTCGGATTTTGCACTCAAAGAGAAAATATCAAAATAGATATGTAAGAGTTAAATGAACAGCATTTAATAATATTTACACTGAAATACAAAATGAAAACCCACATTTTTGCAACCGAGAATACCATTATGAAACTTAACCAGAATCGATGAATCTTTTAAAAAAACTTTTAACTCCACTAAATATCGAAGCAACTGAATATTAAGCCATCTCTAGCCCTCTAATCTTCTGTTTTCCATTTCTGATCAACAACCATAAATGACCTCTGATTCGTATTTGGGGTTAGAAACGATTGCTCGCATTAACAACAACAGATAAAAATGAGATTTAGCAATGGTAAGTCTGCATGTCGGCAAAAATGTTTCAAAACGGAGTAAAATTTGTATAACTCAAAATGAACATTTGCGAATCCGATATCAGTTTACGTTTTTTCCACAAGTTGGCATGTTGCTTGCACTGAAACTGAAGCATCGTTAACTACTCTTCTCACTAATAGTGATTTTTTTCGTCTAGTCAATCTTGACTGTCGAATATATTTTCCTGACGAAGACGCTGGTTCCCACGTAACCGAAAGTTCCTAAAAAAAATAGAATTCATAGACTCTTTAGAAGTAATCGAAGTTACTTTACTTCTAACACATAAGAAAAGCGGCGAAAAAAACAAACTCATGAAAACTTTGGTGTCGATCCGAAAAAGATCTAGATATAGTAACCAGCCAAAAGTCGCTCCATTCGAGTTTAATGACGCATCAAATTGCATAACAATATTACAATTTTTCTCTGAGCTCTAATGAAAATTTGCATCTATAATAAGCACCCATTTATGAAACATAGCCATATGGTTGGAAAAGTGTAGAAAAAAGTAGGAAATTGAAAAAAATTTGATGAAAAACTCTGGAAGATATCAAGTTACAGCTCTCTGAATTGCAAAAAAATGTTTCTGATTGGCAACTTTTCTTAATGTGACCTTTGAAACTTGAAGTCTTTTTTTTTCAAACCACGTTAAATTAAAATTGAGCGTGACTAAAGTTTGCGGCTTTATAGAAAAAAAACGAAAACATTACGACCTATAAAGGTGATAACAGTCAAAAAGATGATAAGGACATAGCAAACATACCGTAAAACAGTCATTTCAAGTACACAGAAAAAATACTGAGTTTTTTTGAAAAACATTCAAATTTCCAAAAAAATATATGGCCTCGGCGCTCTTGGATTTTCTAGAACAATTTATGATTGACACTTTTTGATACAATAAGCCCATTTTGAGAAAACTGGCTCATTCAGTATTTTTTTTTGTTCCGCAGCAAAATCTGAATATTAAATTCCACTTTCGAAACTAGAAGTCGATCAGTTGTTTGTGAGCTTTACACTTTAGTGGTTCAATAGTGGAGTTTGCCTCCCTTTTAGCAAAGGAAATGAACTGAATTTACAAAGAAATTAAGTCGAAGTGCGAAAAAAAATTTGAGCCTGAACAAATTCTAAGACATTTACTAAAAAAACAAAAAAAATCATCGCGACCTACTTAAGAGTCTGAACTATTATCATCGATTCTCAAACATATTTAAGAGTCATCAGTTGTTTGAACTTTTCTTACAAACACAAACTAAATAAGTATCTTCATTTCGTTCATTTCCATATCAAAAACGGCAAAAAAAATAAAGAAAATCAAATTCAAACAATAGATACCAGAGAGCACGGAATTCAATCTGCGATCTCCCAACCAAGAGTGACTTGTCTTAACTACTTAATTGTGCCTTCTTGACTAATACTACTTTCACGTGAACTTTAGTTCTAGATATAAGGCAGCAAACATTGTGTTCTTAAGTAAGTGAATATCGTAAGATCATGATCTTAAACTATAATTATGCAGAAGTTGTCATTTATATAGGTGAATTCAGTTAGAAACAAATGAATGATATTAAAACACTACGCTCTCAAGCTGGCTAGTGTAAATAGCTCTGAGAAATGGTCAAAATCAAAATTGCAAGTAGCATTTTTCATGCATTAGCATTTTTGGTATTGGAGAGCGTTATTTGCCTTCACTTCTGATTTTGAAGTTAGTTCAAAAATAAACCAAAAATCGAACCGCGAAAAAAAATTGTATGATAAAAACATTGGGGCTTTTTCCAAACAAAATCTATTCAAAAAATCACAGCATATTTCTTGAATTTGTTTGAAATATTTTGACATAAGTTGCGCTTCATTCTTAATAAAAAATAATTAAAACAATTTGACACATGCCAATAAGCAAACATGCTTATCACTACGAGTGATGCTATCACAGCGAAAGGGAACTCTTTCATAAGAACAAAACAATGTTTCAGAAGAACATTCAAGCTAAAACTGCTCCAACCGATATGCAAGGAATGATAAATTGGTAGATTGACTGACCGCATAGTATTCCGAGACAGACGCAGAACACCCCCATGTAGGAGAAGTAGAAGGCCGTCTGGAAGAAGCCGAACATCCTAAAAGCACACAACAGAGGTCAACACGGCTGGTCAAAGGTCACCCACCTATTCTCAGTCAATGATGTTCATTTAAATAAACCTTTTAATGTAATTCATTTTTCTCGTTTGTGGAAAACCTAATTTAAAAAAACTTGTACGCTGTACTAAAACTGTTCTGATTTATTTTATAGGCAACTATTTTTTTTTCTAATGGATATCGCTGCTCTCAGTCGACATAAGAAACTGAATATTGTTTGGGTTACTGCTGCTTTTTGGATAGTTGCTTGTTTTTTTTAACCGACCTCAGATTCCCCGAAACACAATACATGTACTTCAACGGAAAACTTCACACGCCTCCCTTGAGGATGAAAATTCTAAATTCTCAGCAGATTATGAGAAAATAAATCAATATCCTAGCAAAATAAAAGCTTTCATTAGGTAAATGGCGCTGGATTAGAAAATCAAGAGCACTTACTTGGTTTTGAAGAAGAAGTAATATATGCAGTATAGATACACGTAGAATGAGCACGAGGCACCCGCCCAGAAGCTAGTCCACTGCCTGAAAAAAAACAATGACTTTTAAATGTCGCTAGCAGTAACAGACTAAATAATGACCTGTTGTTAAAACCAGAAAAGGACCAAATAATGACCTAAAAAAGACTATCGAAAACTGAAAAAGCTGCGAAAAATGAATTCATGTTTTAGCAAGATTGCTATTTATGAAAATAGCAGCTGGTTCATTATTACCTTAAGTGAAATCTTCCCTATCATTCATTACCATTATACATCAAATTTACTCAACATCAAAAACCAAATGACATCAAAAAAATGCGCTACCCTGAGCAATATTTCAATCACAAAGTATTATAAAAAAAATGAAGGAAGTCATTTGAAGATAATGACCTGTCAAAAAAATAACGACCAAATACTGACTACTAATGACTGGTCATTAAAAAATGACCATGAGGTCGCCCTAGTCACCCACCCAGTTCGACTTTGGTCGTTCGTTTAATTACAGCCAGTGATGTCCATTTAAAATAAAATTTGAAATTTAAATTGAAATTGTTTTAGAAAATTATAAAAATTGTTGGCATCAATTTAAATTTTTCCACTATTTAAATTTTTCTTCATAAATTTATTTTTTCTTTAGACTGTTTCTTGCAGCTTTTTTGCCAATTTTGGGGACATTTCGCAAATTTGTGAAAAGAATTCCAAAGCAATTTTTTGGGCGTATCTATTTGCTATAAAAATTCATCAAGTTTGTCGTGAAAATATAGATTGTTTGCTTTTTCTGCTGAATTGTGAAATTAATTATCATGAGTAAACTCTGTACTTTGGCGGATCGAATACCGCCGGACCAATTTAATTTTTTTTTCAATTTGAATTGCTCGATTTAAATTAAAATTTTTCATTTAAATTGAGAGGGCTCATAATTTCACATTTAAATAAATTGAAATTTAAATTGTTTTTTTTTTAAATAGACATCACTGCTTACAGCACTCTATATTCGTTGATTACGGAAGTTGATTAGTACTTTTGTCTCTTCTCTTCAACAGAGAATGACTTTTCAAATGATCGAACTATAAACAATTAAAATTGCGATTAAAAAAAGTTATGCAACAACTTCAAATAATTCAAGCTAAATTTCCATCACTGTTTTCGTAGAGAGTAACTTAAAAGGCGAGTTTCATAAGTCATACCCCAACAACTAAAGTTGCGCGTGCTTAATTTTAGGCTTTTCTGAAGAAAACACTGTAATAAGTGAAAATTTAATTCGACAATCAAAACTTAAAAATTCATTACATTCAGGATTACTAAAACCAAAACGGAAAACAGCTTCGTATATTATCGCTATTCTTCGCGGAAAATCCCATAGCAAAACACCGAGCTGGAGAAACTGAAATTTCGGTAAACCATGAAATCACACATTAATCTGAAAGAAAATATTTTTTCAATCAGATCGTTGAAGTGTGTTGCTTTCGATTGGTCACAATTTTTTATTCATTTGGTCCTATTGTCAAGACAATATTTCCTTTCACTTCGCTTAAAAGATTAGCGAGTGAAGGATTAGGTGTTTGCTGCCGTGAGGCTACGATTTGTGTCAGGCGACAATTAAAAGTAGGCTTAGCTGTTAATATGGAAATTGAATAAAACGGTGAAAAATGTGCAAGGAGTTTTGCTGTGGCTTTGGGGGATTACAACCCGATGATCGGATTAAAAGTTGATTTAGCACCAGTTTCGAACTGCCTAAAACACTTTAAGACAAATGATTAAACACTTTAAGACGCACTTACCATCGGTAGTCCTCGGAGTTGAGTAGGAAGTAAATGGCGACGATGGTGACACACACGGTGACAATCATGAGGATGATGAAGACCAGGAGCATGAAGCCGTACACGTAGTAGATCTTGTAGGCCCAGAAGGAGGTGAAGATGAAGTACATCTCGATGAAGATACTCCCGAACGGCAACACTCCTCCCAACAACACTATCATCGCCGGCTCCATTATCCTACACACAGTTATCAAAACAATCATTCTATATGACAATAGTGACAAAACTTTATATACACCATTACTGTCAGAATTTGATAGAATGATTAAAATCAGTCGCAATATCAACACTTCCTCGAGAACTTAACAATACCTTACTTGTAGTTAAAAATCGTTTTGCTTTTGTAAAAGTGAAAAAAAACATCATTATTTTTTTTGTTAAGCCATTGCATGCTATTTACGGACATGGGCCGAAAAAGTGCTATTTTTTGGTCAAAATCTTTCGAAAAGGGGTAAAAACGGAATTTCTGGCTTTTTTTCGTCAAAACTTGCCTGCAGCATTAAAATTCTAAAATTCACCCAGAGATGCAAACATCATGTTTTATTGCCATTCAATCGACTAGCAGAAAGCTCGACAAGCATAAAAGTTTTAAGACTGAAAATCGTATCGACTAGCATAAAAATTGTACTATATAAGTCAAATTGACTAGTAACTAGTAAATAGGGTAACTAGTAACAAAATGCCACCCCTTTAAAGAGATAATTCAATAGATAAGCATATGTAAACTTTGTACCTAGTAACGAATCCCCCCCCCCCCCCCCTCCCCGCCCTGCAAAAGGGTGGAAATAGTTAAAGAGATCCGTCAAATTTTTTAAATCAATAATTTACACTAGTGCGGGGATTTAGAGAGGGGACACATCATTTACATCACAGATCAGATCCCCTCGCCAACCAAAGGGCCCCCTATGGTATTATTAAATGACCTCCATTTTTGGCAACCAGCCCTGAAATATTACTTTTGAAGGGGAGCGCGCGCTGAAAAAACTAGATGTTTTGGTCAAAAAAATCAGAAGTGCCCAAAACGGTATTTTTGACTAGTTCTTTTAAAATTTGCCGACGCAGAATATTTGGTCAAAACAGGGTCTTTAAAACGATTTGCGAGAGCTCGGAAACTCAATTTTGTCAATTTAAAAAAATGACAAAACTTACGAATATTTTTTTGAAATTACCCTCCCCACTCGAGAAAATCATAGATCCCCTTGATTATATACTTGAAAAACATAAATCAAAATTGTTTTCACTCATTTCATAAATTGTGCAGCACTTAGAGCTCGGTTCAAAACATAACAGTTCGGGGTGTGACTGATCACAACTTTTCTTAAATTTCATTTGCTTGTTGGTTGCTTAATTTATCCAGTTTTCAATTTCTCAGAAAAGCAAGTTTCAGATCGAAAGGATTGTTGTTATTGTTCTTTTTTATTTCTGAGGAAAAAAAGCTTTCAATATTTTGCTAGTCGATACCTTTTCATGTTTTCAAACTTTTATGGTAGTCAAGCGGTCACCATTTTATGGACCAAAAAAGCCAGACAAAACTATCAAAATCTTTTTGAAAATCCCCCATCCACTATCATATAGCTAATATACTAGATCTTCCCTCCCAAAATCCCACAAACCTCAACTGATGACCATATTAAAGAACATAGCCAACCGACAGTTGAAAAACATTAAGAACGCAAGAAAACAGAACAAGAAATACTGACTTGTTTTTGAAAAAATCTGATCTTTCTTATTTCAAAAAAAAGATGACCTTAGAGTTAAAGCTCTTTGAATTTTTAAAACAATTTATAATTGTCACTTTTTGATGAAATTAACCCAATTTGACAAAACTGGATCAATAAGTGAAATTTTTAATTCGCTGGAAAATCAGAACATTAAATTCCTCTTTTGAAACTAGAAGTCGATCACGTTTTCCGTGACCTTTACATTTTTGCTATTTGATAGAGGAGTTTGCCTTCCTTTTATCAATGGAATGCACTGAACTTGAAAAGAAATCACAAATCAAACCGCGAAAAAGTAAAATTGAGCGTGAACAAATTTTAAGACATTTAAAAAAATCACCAAGATCTATAGAGTTATCACTACGTTAATTACTCTTAACAAAACCCAACATGGATATCAACTAACCATTTTTTCTCAGGGATGGGTCGTGGCACTGCGTTTACTCTGCACGGAGCATCAGGGAGTCCCGCCAGATTTCTTCCAAGGATAGTTCCCACCAGAGTGAGAGGAAGGATCACGAAGAGACAGATACATGCCACTGCCATCATAGATCCGAACGGGATGGCACGGGAAGCGTGGTAGTACATAGCAATGAAGTTGATGCCGATTGCTGTTGCGGACACGTAGGCTGGGATCAGGAACGCACTCACAAACATCTGGCGGATCCAACTCTTACCTGGACGAAACGCAACAGAACAGTTTAATGCAAAAACAATTTTTACGAAATAGTTCATTTTAATTTTTTTTGAGTTAATGGTGTCAATAACTGACCAGTAGCTAAAAACGAGCTTGACAAAAAAAATCATTCGTTCAATACTGTAATAAAACCTACACACGCCGTTGTTTCGAAAATCATATAACGCTGAAAAACATAGCCAACAGACAGTTGGAAAAGAGTCAATGCTTACAATTAAACAGAAAAAATACTGACTTGTTTTTGAAAAAATCGCGAAATAGATGCCCTTAAAGCTCTTTAAATCTCTAAAAGAATTTATGATTGGCAGTTTTTCGATAAAATTAACCCAATTTGAGAAGACTGTATCAATAGGCAAATTTTTTATTTCGCTGTGAAATCTGAAAACTAAATTCCATTTTCCAAACTAGAATTCGATCACGTTTTTCGTGACCTTTACACTGTCGCTGTTCGATAGTGGAGTTTATCTTTCTTTTAACAAAGGACATGAACTGAACTCAAAAATAAATCAAAAGTCAAACCGCGAAAAAGACTTCCTGAAAAAAATAATTGCGACCTGGATAAGAATCTGAACTACATTCATCGACTCTTAATCAGTGATTCAATTTCAAGTTAAGAATGTCTACCTCTACCTTTTTAATCGACAAGCATCTCTCGAAAAAAAACCGAATTAGTTTGTGAAAATACCGACCTCCCATCCTTGCGTAGAGGCTTCCGCCAAAGTATCCATTGACTGGCGAAGTGGCGGCATACACGAATATTGCAGTGCTCAACAGAGATCCACGCCTGCAACAAAGTAAAAATTAATCTTAAAACTGAATTAAATGTGAAAACCATTAGGAAAACCTGTCAAAAAGCAACCAGTAATGATATTTTAGAGTTTATTCTTAAACTCCAGCTGCTGCTCTTAAATATTTATCATTTTCTAATTATTGGTTCCTTTACTTTAGTAACTCTCAAATAAACGCATATGAAATTTTCTACAGCTCACCCCAATTTTTATTGCGAACTTTCAATGATATTCCTTTTTGCGTTGCAGCTTTACTCAATGAAATTTAGGTATCCAGCTGTCTGCAAGTAAAACTCTGAACAAATATGATCTCTTTGCAGTTTTTCCATAAATCTGCTCATACAAGAATCACCGAAGCAGTTCAACTTCAGTTAGTATTAACATCATTCCTTCCTTCCTTGCATTTATCATTCTTTTTACATATTTATATGAATCACTCTTTTGTCTCAAAATGTACCACTTATTTTTTATATAGCCCCCTTCCAGCTTATATTACGCTTCCTCGATTCCCCCTTTCGAAAAGTGATTTTTTTTGCATAAAAATGATAGGCGAAAACCTGGTTACAGCACATCTCGATTCATATAATACTCTCTCGATACTCCCTACGTATGTTATACTAACTCAGTATATAGCTCTCCGAATATGGCGAGCATGATGACGAGGAGGGAGACTACTGTGATCTGGTATCCAGTTCCCACCAGTGCACAGAAAAGGGTCCTATGCTCCCCCGGTCGAAATACGTCCCCATGCACCTGTTTCCACCCGTACTCGTCGCCCAAGTCTTTCTCCTAAAACACACACAAGGAGGTTGACAGAATCAAGATGTTGGCAGTTTGAGGCCATAAAATTGAGTTCGAAAATATTTCCTCAAAAAAAACCAGCAGGTCAAACAAGTATCGAACTGAGTAGTTCAATATGCACTGCTCTGTTGATAGTTCAAAAAATTTAATGAGAATATCTTTTCCTAATACACTGTTCGTTCTGACTTTAGAAAATTGTGCAAAATGATTTTTCTTTAGATAAATTTGAGTCAATATTAATTTTTGCAACTTGTTTACCTACCCTGAAGATTTGGATGTCCCCTAATCAAAATTTTAAAATAGCTAACAGATGGCAAGAAGAGTGTAAAAAGACTCAAGGAAACCGAAAAAAAAAATACGGATTGAAAAATTTCGATTATCGCCAACAGGGTCGGAACAGAGACAATGAACGCAAGTATATGAACACCCAAAATATGAAAACTGAACGTGAATTTTAAATAAAAAATAGGATCAATATTACGCTCAGACGGAGAATATTGAAAACTGGTAATGCCAAAATCAAGCTGGGTCATCTAGAGTATTCTTAAACGGTTCTTTTCAACATTTTTTCCACAAAGTCGCTCCATGAAACGTGCATTCGTGTCATTTTTCAACTTCCAAACTTTGAGCTACCAATGATATCTTTCTACGGTGAACCTTTTTTCCTCTATTTTTGCCACAAAATTGACGTTAAAGAGCCGTCACGAGAAGTCTATTTTATATTTGGATAAACTCGAAACAGAAAAGAAAAGTTTGCTTTTCGAAAAACGTCCATTTTTCTTTCTTTTTAAATTTTTTATTCACATTTTTTATTTGGGATGTTTCATGAAATGCAAATCTTCAAGTTTAAAGCTGGACGACTAGTCAAGGCAACAGAAATTGGGACGAAATAAGTTTATAAAGAAAATTCTAGTCAAAATTCAAATCACAACGCATACACTTGCCTTTTGATAGAATTAAACATCTTATTAACTTGATTCTAATTTACTTTTTTCTAAAATTAAACTTGAACAAAAATTTTAGCATGCATTATCAATATGCTCTGTCATGTCAGTTATAAGACCAAACATACAATTGAGAAACATTTTAATTTGACTCATTTTCAAGTCATGCAGAGATAGTCACAAGTGCAACAGGAATCAAAACACACTTAGCATCAGCTTAAGTCACTCAGACAAAATCTCAAATACGAAATGAGATTCCTGACAAATTTTGGTGCCATTATCAAACATAATTCTACTTATTTTTTAAAAACCTTATACTAGAATAGGCCGAGCCAATGGCTCACCCAGATATTTTAAAACCCGAGAAGGGAAAGGTTTATGTAAAACGCTTTGAAATTATTCAAATCAACGATTTCAGCATTTTGATGCGTTTAGACCTTCAAAAATGTTTGATTGAATCGATTTCGCATAACATTTCAACATTGACTTTTCTTGGACCGCTTAGATTTCTATCTTTACTCACTTAAAATTACGTTAATTCTAGGGTCGGTCGGTCATTGGCCAAATGTTGGTTACTTTAGAGTCCAGCCAAATTTGGAGGTAGCAAAAAAGTGGTAGCAAGCCAACAAGCCTAAGGGCCAAGAAGCCGCAAATACAATTACCATGCCAACAAGCTGAAAATTACCAAGCTAAAAATTATTTTGTTTATGCAACATATCAATAGATTGTCACTGTTTTTATTCAATTGTTACATAACTCTGATGTAATTTATGTTATTCTGATGTAATTTCGGCTTCAAGACATGGCGGTTTGTAGAAATGGCGATTAGTCGCATATCAGCCAAAAAAGTATCAAGTAGGGAATTGAGAGGCGATAACGCGATCGTTGACTTATCCCTTCACTACGATGCAATCTTATTAGTTGATGATATCTTTTCAAATCCGATTGATTCTGCAAAAAGAAGACTAGTTTTGTTTCAACATGCTTAATAACTAAAAAAAAAACAATCATATTTAACTTCACAAAAACAATGATTTCAAACTGCTGGTCTAATTTATTCTAAGTAAAACTTCAATCATACGTCATCTTGTCCCTTCACTTAAACTTTAGACCAGCAGCTTGGAATCCGTAAGTTTTTCGTGAATTTAAATAAGATATTCTGGTTAAGCATGTTAAAACAAAATTAGTCTTTGCATTTATAGAATCAATCGGAGAAGTAAAATATATCATCAGTTATTTGGATTGCATCGTAATGAAGGGATATTGAAGGGAAACATTTATTATCCAATTATAACTATCACGGCGCATAAAACATTTGCTTATTTTAGGTTTGATAACACATGAAAAAAATAAGGAAAATGCATAACACTACATAAATTTTGTGAAAAAAAACCAGATAATTAGTTTTTTTTCTTAATTTATATCAAAATGATTTAACTATTCTAAGACAGTGCACTTTTAAAAATAAAAACTAAAAACATGTTTAATTTTTAATCAGAAATAAAGGTAATCAAGGAGCAAGAAACAGGGGATATTCTCAAGTAAGCATGAAGGGCGTCAAACAAATTCACGAAATTGAAATCAATCTGATTAAAATCAGATAAAAATAGTGACGAAAGTGAATAACTCTCAACACCAGCCCCAAAATAAACAAGCGTCTTTTTGCAAAAAAGAAGGATTAAGCATTTCAGGATTCTTTTTTGAAAAGATAATTTAAAACAGGCTTTTTTTTGATCAAAAAGAAAACAGATCATTTATCAGAAACAATTTGTGATACCTCAGATTAACAAAAAAAAACAGTGCTTAACAAACACGGACCAAGTTAAGCCATCAACCAAACCAAAGAGGCTCAGCTTCTGCAAAAAAGGCAAATTTCAAGTTTCAGCTATTCTTAGCAAGCGTACATTTTAAAACTAAGATTAAAAACATAATTTCTGTTGACTAGCAAAAAAAACACAATCAAGGATCAGAAACACGGTATATCTTTAAACAGTAATCATTAAAAGCATCTATCAAATTCAAGAAGTTGAAACAAACAGACTAAAATCATTTAAAAAAACGCAACAGAAGTATTGATGCACACATAAAAAGAACTGAATTATCAGATTGAAAACAATTATCAAAATTCACAAACACGGCCCAAATCTCATCATCGAACGAAACAAAACAGCGTAGATTCTGCGGAGAAAAAGACAGAAGTAAGATTTCAGATATTCTTCGCAAGTTTACTTAATGCAATGAATATTATAAACAGGTGATAATTTTATCAGAAAGAAATAAAATAATGCATCAGAAACACGGGATAACATCAGGCAGTAAAAATTAAAAAGCATTAAACAAATTCATTAAATTGAAATTAAACTGATTAAGATCAGATAAAAGAATAGTCATCAAAAATTGATGCATTCATGAAACAAAGCAATTGAGAAAATAAAATCAGTCGTATATAAAATCGGATTAAATCTCAGCACCAGCCCCAAAATAAACAAGCGTCTTTTTGCAAAAACAGATGAAGCATTTCAGGATTCTTTTTTGAAAAGAGAATTTAAAACAGGCCTTTTTGATCAAAAAGAAAACAGCTCATTTAACAGAAACAATTTGTGATACCTCAGATTAACAAAAAAAACAGTAGTTAACAAACGCGGACCAAATTACGCCATCAACCAAACCAAAGAAGCTCAGCTTCTGCAAAAAAGGCAAATTTGAAGTTTCAGCTATTCTTAGCAAGCGTACATTTTAAAACTAAAATTAAAAACATAATTTATGTTGACTAGCAAAAAAACACAATCAAGGAGCAGAAACACGGTATATCTTTAAACAGTAATCATTAAAAGCATCTATCAAATTCACGAACTTGAAACAAACAGACTGAAATCATTTTAAAATAACAGAAGTATTGATGCACACATAAAATGAACTGAATTATCAGATTGAAAACAATTATCAAAATTCAGAAACACGGACCAAATCTCATCACCAACCGAATCAAAGGGGCGTAAATTCTGCGCAGAAATAGTAAGGTTTTCAGATATTCTTAGAAAATTTACTTGTTAAAATTAAGATTATAAACAGGTTCTGCTTTGATCAGAAAGAATTGGAATCATGGATCAGAAACACGGGATATAATCAAGAAGTTGGAGTTATAAAGCATCAAACAAATTCATGAAATTTAAATAAAGCTGATTTGAATCAGATTTAAAAAATGGTCACCAAAAAAATGATGCATTCATATAATAAAATAATTGATAATAAAAAACTCAGTCGCAGAGAAAATTGGAATAATTGTCAATACCAGCCACAAAAAGCAGCGACTTCTTGCATAAAAGTATGATTAAGCAATTAGCAATTCTTCTGTGAAAATACAGTTTTAAAAAGGCTTTTTTGATCAAAAAGAAAAGTGATCAATTATCAGAAACAATTTGTGAAACTTCAATGATAAAAAAATCAGTAGTTAACAAACACGGACCAAATCACATCAAGAACCGAACCAAAGAGGCGCAGCTTGTGCAAAGAAAAAGGCTTTGTTGAATTTTCAGCTATTCTTAGCAAGCTTACTTTTTAAAACAAAGATTAAAAACAGATTTTACTTTTGAGCTGCAAAAAAAACGCGAACAAGGATCAGAAACACGGCATATCTTTAAAAAGTAATCATTAAACACATCTATCAAATTCACGAATATGAAACAAACAGACTTAAATCACTTTAAAAACAAAAGAGAAATTTTGATGCACACATTAAAAAAGGATTGAATTATCGGAGTGAAAACTATAATCAATAGTTCAGAAACACGGACCAAATCTCATCATCGAACAAAACAAAACGGCGTAGATTCTGCGGAGAAAAAGACAGAAGTAAGATTTCAGATACTCTTCGCAAGTTTACTTAGTGCAATGAATATTTTAAATAGGTTCTATTTTTTATCAGAAAGAAATCAAATAATGCAACAGAAACACGGGATAACATAAGGCAGTAAAAATTAAAAAGCAATAAACAAATTCATGAAATTGAAATCAAACTGATTAAAATCAGTTAAAAGAATAGTC